GGGCCGTGGACTTCTGCGACCCTGTCGTTCGTCAGGCGATGGAGCGACCCGTCTTGTGCATGGCTCCGGAGGAGCATTGACCCAACGTGAAGCCCGCGCGGGTGCACGTTACTTCCGACGAGGCCTGGGGCGCGATCACCAGCGAGTTCATGGCGCGCGGAGTCCTCGAGGCGATTGCATTCGATGACAGTGCGACCATCCGAGGCGCGAAAATCCTCGACGGGGCCTTCGCCGTCAAGAAGAGCGGCCCTCCGCCCTATGGGCACGATTCCCACTTGCGCTTCATAGCGAACCTGACTCCGTCAAGTGCCGGCCAGCACATCATAAAAAGGGGACCTGCACGCGCTGCCCCTCCCGGCCGAGCACGGGCACGTCGTTTTGGATGACAGCGAGGTGTTGGCGCTCAGCGGGGACAACATTTCGGGGTGCTTTCACTTCTGTGAGCTCCCCCAGGGCTGGCGCCGGTGGCTTGCCTTCAACAAACCTCGGTCCGACGGGGTCTTCGTCGCAGTCAGGGTCATGCCCATGGGTTGGCTCAGTGCCGCGGGGGCGGCGCAGCACATGCACCGACGTGTCGCGGGAGAGTCTCTTCGCAGGTCCGCGCGGTTGTCAGCTGGGCGGGACTACGCGCGTGACAAGGCCTTCCCGGGGTGCGCGAGTTCCGCAGCGCTCGAGCACGGCGACCGCGGCGAACGTGTGTGGTGGAGCATTTACGTCGCCCACTCCAGGTACTCCAGCGAGCTGTTGCCGAGCAGATGCAGGGCGTGCTATCTGATCGTCATCGGGCTCTCCGCGATGCTTTAGATGCCCGCGCGAACCCGACGGCGGGTGCGAAGGGCGTCATTCGTGCGCCACGCGCTGTCCGAAAAGGTCTGCTCGTGGACGGCCTTGCCGGCCGCGCTGCGCCGCCAGTGCGACACTTCCTCGAGCGCGTCTCCCTCACGGCGTGGGCCATTGATCGGGCTCCTGTTGCCAAGCGGGCCTTGCGGGCCATCGTTGGGCGCTGGACTAGTAACTTTTCGCGCAGGCGGCACTTGTTCGCTTGCTTCGACGCGGTGTGGCGCTACATCGAGGAATGGCCAGATCAGGACAGCACCCCAAGGTTCTCGCCGTGGATGGTGAAGCAGGAGCTGCTCAAATGCGTCATGACGCTTCACGAGCATGCGCCTGCCGCTCGGTTGCAAACCCATCGCCGCAGACGCCTCTGAGAGCGGCGGCAGGGTGTCCATCTGTTACGCGCTCACGTCGAAGGGCATTGCAGACGCGGACGCGCTGGTCGGCTGACCGGAGGCCGCCTTCGACCAGGGCCCTATCGTCATCGAGGTGGGGGATGGGTGCGGGTTTGCACGTCCCGCTCTCCAGCGCCTTGGGATCGAAGTCAAGGCGGGGCCCCACTGTTGCACGTCGAAGCAAGGGCGCCGCATCTACATCCAAAACTTCGGGGGCGACCGATCATCTTCGCGCCCCGCCGACGCTGGCCGCGTCTTCCTCGAAGACATGGAGCACGAGGCGCCGCTTGCGTCCGTCGTTGTCGCCGTCTACGGCCTCCCCGCCTCCCCGCCAGGGAGTATGGCGAGCCTCTCGCCACGTCTGGCCTGCGCGGGGCCGCGTGTGAGCGGGTCGCGCAGGTACTCGACTTCGCAGCCGACGTTCGCGCCACCTTCTTTTCACGCCCCTTTCGTCGGGGTCTTCCAGTCTTCGCCGGCGCTGAGCACGAGTGATCTGGCGTGATCAACGAGGCAAGTGGGCGCCGTCCTATTTTGTTGGATGCCGCGTCCATGCGCCGCGCGTCGAGCACCAGAATTTTCTGGACGTCGTGGGAGGCCACTCGGGACCACGGCGGCGCCGTCTCCTGCGTCGACACTCGGCTCGCCACGGTCGTGGATCTCGTCGCGGACCTCGAGCCCGCCGAAGCGTGGCTCGATGCCAACTCGGCTCGGCGGCGGCGACGACGTCAGGCTTCCAGCCATCGCTCCGTTCGTGCCACGCCACGCAGCGTCGTCTAGCTGCGACGACGGCGCAGCCTCCGACACGGGAGCTGGCGGCCATGGCCCTTCCCGCGCTGCACTGCGAACCGCATTTCTGAGTACGGCGGGTCGGGCCCGAAGGGTCCGTGAGCTCCACGCCGCCTTCGTGCACGGAGCGCGAGGTGTTGCACGGACTATTGCCAGGCTATGCCACTACTGGCTCCAAGGTGGATGGGAGCTCTTCCGTCCTTGAGCGCTCCGCCGAGGGCATGGGCATCTTCGAGGCGCTCTCTCATACGCCCCACGTCGGCGTCCTCACGTGGCTGATTGGGCAGGACCTCGCAGCGGAGAGCGTCAGGTTCGAGGCTCCGACGCCGCTGCGGATCCAGACAGATTTTGCTTCCAAAGTTTGCCACGCTAGGGATACGGTTTTCGCCGAAGCTCAGGCCATGGAGCAGCTTCCGCCGACAGCGAGATGGGGCGAACTGGCCAGGCCCAAGTCGGAGTTGAGTAACTACGACCGCATGTTTCGCCTCGTCAGCGAGCTCTACAGGCGCACTGACCACAGAGGGTCCGATGTCCGCCTTGACGTGCAACGCCCTTACCGGGCCGCTGCCTGGCCGCGCCAGGGCATCTCGACCGAGCGCTGCACACGGAAGCACCAGCTTAGCATCACATGGACCCGTGATGCGCACGTCAACGTGCTAGAGTTGTTGGCGATGTTCGCGGGGTTGCGATGGCGCGCTCGCTCCGCCGACGCGCTCCACTCAAGGCTGTGATGCGTGCTTGCCAGCCAAGTTGCCCTCTCCGTAGCTGCCAAAGGGAGGAGCTCATCGCAGCAACTCAACAAGGTGCTGCGTCGCATGATTTCGTTTTGCCTTGCCGCCAACCTGCATACGTTCTACATCTACGTGCACACGACGAAAAATCCTGCCGATGCTCCCAGCCGCGTCGCCGGGCAAGGGGAGCATGGGCGAGATTGAAATCGGGAACATGCCTAAAGGCAAGAAGAACCTGATCCTCGCCGCAGCGACGAGAGCAGTTCGTCGACGTGCACGTCGTGTTGTGGGACGCTTGAGGGACAACGTCGTGTCCCCGAGGATGCAGGCACAGTACACCCAGCACTGCCGCCGCTTCACGTGGTGGGCCTTCCGCACTGTTTACTTGCCTCGGGACCTCGACGCAGAAGCGGTCGACGACGCCCTTGTGTCGTACCTGGAGCTTCTGTGGAACGAGGGTGAGCCGAAGAGCTGGGCTACTTACACGCTCGCCGGCCTCCAGCACTTCGCCCCGCGGCTGCGCAGTCATATTCTAGCTGCGTGGCGTTTGCGCGCGGCTTGGGATAAGCTTGGGTTGCCCGAGCGCGCTCCGCCGTTGACCCTGGGCGCTGCCCAGGCGCTGGCGGGTCTAGCGTGCGAGATTTCGCACGTGCGGGTCGCTGCCGGCCTTGTGCTCAGCTTCCACTGCGTTGCGCACAGGGGAGCTGTTGGCAGCCTCGAATTGGCGACTTCGAGCTGGACGTCGCGCGCGGCACTGGGATCCGGGACCTGCACGTCACTAAACGGGGTGCTCGCCGAGCGCAGCAAGAGGTGGTCACCATCGACGACGCCATTTTGGTGAGGTGGTTGGCCTCCCTCCGAAGCGGGTTGCTGCCAGGTGACCCCCTCATCGACCTGAGCCAGCAAAAGTTTCGCACGATGTTCGCAGATCTCTGTCGGACGCTGCGGCTGACGCAGACGTGCTTCAAGCCCTACTCGCTCCGTCGGGGCGGCGCCACATATCATGACAGGCGCTTCGGGAACCTCGACCGCACTGCCCTCCGAGGCCAATGGGCTTGTCTGCGGACGGCAAGGATTTACATCGCGGATGGCCTCGCAACGCAGCAGGAGATCAGTTACGACATCGAGCATCGTGCCTTCTTCCATCGGTTTCGCGGTGCCCTGGAGGCCACTGCGACCGACCAGAAGGGGAGGAGGGGAACAGCGCGCAGCGTCGGCCTCCTACAGTCGGCCCGGATTGGTAGGTCGACCCTGCCACATCAAGGGTACCTTTGTGTCCTGTGTCTCGCGACCCGTGCCTCCTGCATTCCCGCGGCAATGTGGCCCTCGGAAGGGTCTTCTGTCCTCTTGCGTGCCCTGTCCAATGAAGTCCGACTGTAGGAATGCAGGCTTCGAATTTCGGCCACGCTCCCGGGACAGGCGGCCGATGCCCCCTCGCCGCCGGCGAGCGGAGCTGCGCCTCGAGCCGAGCGCCGCCGCGGCCCGAGCGGCCCGGAGCGCGGCGCCCCGCCGGCGCTCGCTCGACAGTCTTCCTGGCGCGTGCACAGAAAGGCACGCTCGTCATCGATGAGCGCTTAGCGACGAGCTGGAAATATCGCCTGCATGCCTCTGCGCCGCACCATGCATCCTCCGGAGTCGTCTTGGGCCGGGCATGTTCGTGGCCATGGGCGGCACCAGCCTCGGTCGATAACAAATCGTTCTTCCCGACGCGCAGCGTCGGCCGCCGAGGGATGCAGGCTTCGAATTTCGGCCACGTTCCCCGGACAGGCGGTCCAGCCATCTCGTGCGCCGATGTTCGGTGGACTTTTACCAGGTCCCTCACGAAGCGTCCGCCCCGAGGGTCGCTGGGCGCAGTGCTGTGAAAAGGAAGGCCGGCGGAGGTAAGACGAGGCCGGCTTCCGCCGGCGGAAGGCGGCGGAAGTAAGAGATGTGGCCGCCGTTCGCTTTCAGGGCTTCGATCGACCTGGATCGCGCCGCGTCGTTTATTCGGTAGTTGCTGGAGCCCCCGCTAAACTTCCTAGGCTATGTGAGTCGCGTTGAAAAGGAAGCAAGAGATGCGCCCCCGAGAGATGAGAAAGCGTTGCTTGGATCAGGATCCCCGAGGGCGCCCATCTGGCAGCTCTCACAGCCCGCTCTGCTTGTGAGGCGTGGTGCCGCCGTGGCGCGTCGGTGCCGATCCGCCGCCGAGGGGCCCAGTCATCCGGGCCTCCGGGGGCGCATGGCCTCGGGTCTGCCCGTGGAGCCGCCCGGCCAGGCAACATCTCCTCGGCCCTGATGTACCTGTGCATCTACAACTGGCTGTCCATGCACGCCTCCGCCCGCGCCACCTCAGGCGCCCCCCGGCGGGGAGGCGGGGGGGAGGCGCGATCGCCGAGTCATTCTCTCGGCTCGGCTGGCGCGTCAGGGTGACCCTTCGCCAGGGTGACCTTTCGTGCCCCCCTGGGGGGGTACATCTTCCTTACCTGCCACAGGGGAAGGGAGGGAGGAGGGAAGGGTCAAGGGGGAGGGAGAGGGACGCAGCGCGAGAGAGATTGGCAGGAGCGGGGTTCGGAGCATCCACCACATCGGCCGAACCAGACGGGGTGGGTCGGCGCGATTTTGAATACATTGTAAGAAAGTGTATAATCGAAGACGCATACGGCGAATCACCGCCGCCCCATGCCTGTTCGGAAGTGCCTGTGTGGCCGAACGTTGGGCTTGAGCTTAGCAACGCTATCGGACCATGTTTTCCCCCAGCCGTCGTTGAAGAGGAAGAGGATAATGAGAAGGAAGGGGATAATGAGGAGAAGAAGGATGAGTGAGGAGGAGGAGGAGGAGGAGGAGGAGGAGGAGGAGGAGGAAGCGGAGGAGGAGGAGAAGAAGGAGGAAAAGAAGGAAGACTAGCCTCTTGTGAGCCTCTTGGGGTACTCTTGGGGTCTCCTGGGGGCTTCCTGGGAGCCTCTTGGAGGCCTCTTGGGGGTCTTCTTCGGCCTCTTCGGGGCCTTTGGGGGCTTGTTCGGGGCCTCTTTAGCTGCCTTAGAGCGTTCCTGGGCCGTCTGACGCCGTCAGAAGCCGTCTTGGGGGCCTCTCTGGACCGTCTTGGGACCCTCTTGGGGTGCTTCAGGGCCGTCTTGGAGGCCCTCTTGGCCGTCATGGACACCTCTTGGGCCCTCCTGGGGCCATTTTGGAGGCCTCTTGGGCGCTCTGGGGACGATGTTGGGGTCTCTTGGTCCGTCTTGGGCCGTCGGAAGGCCGAAAAGAAGCACATGCCACATTCGTTCAAACACCTTAGGAAAATCACTAAGTTTGACCTCCTCGGGCCCTCCAGGAGGACCTCTTGGAGGCCTCGTTGGCCATCTTGGAGGCCATGTTGGCCCCATGGCGGGCACGGTCGAGGATGAGGAGGGCTGGGTATCGAGGGTTTAGGATGTTGAATGGCACAGAAGCAACGGAGAGCGAACAGTTTTCGAATGATTGCTTTCGTTCGCGGGGGGGGTGACAATGCACATTTGGAACGAGGCTCGTAGCGCTTCGTCCTTCCTCGCGGATCAGCTGAACTATTACAGTGGAGTCCCATGCCAAGACGCACCCTGCTTGCCTCCAGGACTCCAGGGTGCCATGAGTTTCTCGGGTTTCCATGGTCTTGTTAGGGAAAGCGTTACGCTCCCACACGAAGAATCAATGGACGTCCTGGGGTCTCCGGGTCCTTGTGGTCGGCCCCCCGCTGTAGTTATCTCCTAAGCAGGAGCCTGCCGTTCCCCGCCTCCTCCACCGTCCCAAAACATGCCCCCCTCCCCCCCCGCGAGGCGGCGTGCACATGCTGACCCGCTCCGTGCGTCTGCCCATCCCGACCCCGAAGCAGCTGGACAAGGCGGGCCCCTCCTCCTCCTCCTCCTCCTCCTCCTCCTCCTCCTCCTCCTCCTCCATCCTCCATCCTCCCCCATCCTCCCCCCTCCCTCCTCCTCCTCCTCCTCCTCCTCCTTCTCCTCTTCCTTTTCCTCCTCCTCCTCCTCCTCCTCCTCCTCCTTCTCCTCCTCCTCATCCCCCGAGGGTGGGGGCCTGGCACCTGTTCTCATGGTGTCAGCGCCACACACTCCTCGGAGCACACTGTCAGTGTCAATTGCATGCGGCGGCTGGGGGCAGATAGACCGTCTTTTGTCGTTTTTGCACCAGCCACGTGGCACTTTGCCCGTGGCAGCGGCGCGTTAGCTGCGCCCGTGACCTGGACATGGGTACCAGGCACGGGGAGTGTGCATTTGGTTGAGAGGTGGGGCCATGTTGTCCGTAAGTCCCTTGGGACCTTGTGTCCGCTCACCCTGGGGTACAAACCCAGTTGCACATGCCATCCGATTCGGGAGGGGTGACGGTCGGGAAATACTGCGCGGTGACGCGGTGAACCGGCTGTCCCCCTACGCACCACGCCGTCTAGGTTGGGCAGCGAGTCGCTGAGCGACGAGGTATCTGCCTTTCCCCTGACCGTCGGCGCTGGCGCCTGCGGGCCCCTTCCTCCTGTCTTGGAGGCCGAGGGTGACGGTTGAGCCTGAAGGCCTCGAAGGATATCCTTTATGTGCCTCAGGGCGCGGGCCCCCAGGGCCCCACTGCCCCAGGCCATCGTTGGGAGCAGTGGCGGGGAACTTGGCGGTGCTCAGTCTGTCTTCGTGGTCAGCGATCCTCGGCTAAGCCGGCTGTTGGACGTTGCCCGAATGATTCGAAATTGCACGCTTCGCGTCAGGACGCCTTGGGTCATCACACTGTGGCTTTCGACTGTTCTGATGGATCGGTCGTGTTCATTTGCACGCGCTGCAAATGCCATTCCACGGGTGCGTCCGTCAGAGGTCTTGGCGAGGAGTGCCGTGTCCCGCCCACTCGTGCTGCCAAGTATGGGTGGAACGCTCTCGCCAAAGGCCGCCACCCACACGATTCTCGATCGAAGCTCGGTGTCACTGTTGAGACAAACTTCCGCATTCCATGTTTCAGCACTTTTGTTGAGGAGTCTGATAATGCCGAAGGTGCACCAGCTGACCCTCCTACTGCTGAGCCTCTTCTTGTCTTGCTCGCTGTGCCAGCACACTCTACTGAGCTGGACCCGCCTCTGGATGTCAGAAATCAACCAGCTCAGGTACGACGTGCTCTTAAAATGGCGCTGGGGGGCCAGGTCGAGCCTGGGGACCAGCGCGATCTGGATTTTGATATGGAGGAAGTGGATGCTCGAGCCTTTTTTTGCGGATGTTGTTTCAGCCCCTTCGAGTGCTAGTAGGCCTGTGGATGTTCTGCAGAGTGTGGCGGAGGCCCTTCGCCGCGAGGAGGGCGAACAGTCTCTAGCGCTGCCTTCGCACGATGATGGAGGGGCGTCTGATTGATTTTCCGGTGCTTCTCACGTGCAGTAACCGTGGCACGCCCCAGGGGTATTCCGTGACCTACTCTTGGGCGTCTCATATTTGTACTGGTGAGTGCAATTTTTCTTGATGACCCTCTGTATCGCCATGACAGTCGGTTTTTTCAAGACTTCCAACGCGAGGAAAGAAGAGGTGGTAGTGTTCCCGCGGGGGAAAAATCCTCCTCCTCCTCCTCCTCCTGCTCTTCCTCCTCCTCCTCCTCCTTCTCCTCCTCCCCCCCTCCTCCCTCCTCCTCCTCCTTCTCGTCGTCCTCCTCCTCCTCCTCCTCCTCCTCGTCCTCCTCGTCCTCCCCGGCAGGCGGCTTCGCCCGCTTTCGGATCGATCCAGCCTTGGAAAAGCCGATCATATCTTTTGGTCCAGAGCTGTGGTCGTGATCGATGGTTCGCGATCTTACCTCGGATCTCAGGGTCCGCCAATGGGGGGCGTCCAAACAGCGGCGGTGGCCTATGAGCCCAGGCTCCGCGCCCGGAAGGACGTGCGCCTGCACAGCGCACAGACTTCCGGATGCCCGCACGGGTCTCCTGGGGCCGGAGCGGCCCGGAGGCGCCATCGGAGGGACCCGGCGCCGACCCGAGCAATCTCCCCAGTTGTTGAGCATCGGGGATTGGAGGAGGGCGGAGGATGGGAGGAGCAACTCGAGGATCGGTGCCCTGGCCGCAGCGTTGTTCACCTCCTCGGCGTCAAATGGTGCTCGGACCTCTGCTGGCCAAGCGTTGCTCTGCAGAAGCTCCTTTGTGCGCCTTGTGAGCCGGCACTCTTCGTTCGGGTACTCCTTTCGAGCAGTGGCGAAGCGTCAAGGCTTGCCTATAGGCCCACCACAGAATGTTCGAACAACCTTTTGTGGTTTGCGCGAAATGTTCTTAGAACGTGTACGGCTGGGCCTGTCTTGTTTCAACACATCGGGGTTGTGTTGTAAGAACATTGCTTTTGATGTCGGAACATCTTCGGTTTCTAAGAGCATGCCGTGGTAGGCCCATAGGGATGCCGGGACGGTCGGTCCGTGCTCAATCTGCCGATCGAAAACAGTACGTAGGCTTGTTGAGCTCCTGCTGCCCTGGAGCCCCAAAGGCCAAGGAGTACAGCCCAGAGGCTGCCTGTGGGGCGCGGAGATACATCGAGTCGCGGCCCGCGCGCCGCGGCCTGTGCTGGGAATCCCCGCGCCCGAGACAGGTGGACCGGGCGGGCCGTGGTCGTCTGCCCGACAGTCAGGTGGCTCAAGAAGGGACCCCAAGGACAGGGACTCTTGAGACGGGCGGTGCCGATTTCTCAAGCACGGTCGGCTTCGCCCACAAGGTAGCCGCATGACGCTTTCACTCCTCTTTTCGAGGTCTCAGATGCAACGCCGCGGTCTCAGAAGTCACTTTCGCTGGCGTCCCTTTAGGGAGCGTGTCAGACAGCGGCGCGCTGGCGGCCACACTCAGTATCGTTTCACCGACCCCTATCCCCATCCCCATCCAGACCCCCGCCATCTCAGCACCCCAGTTGGGGATACACCTCTCGACACCAGAAGGACACGGCGTAGATTCCCATCGAGCGGGGTAAATCGGCCAGTGGGGCACATGCCACGCCCATGGGGATGGTGGTCGGTTCAACGATGCTGACACGCCCGAGGGGCTCAGCCAGAACTGCGAGGAACAGAGAACTGCGAGAATAGAACCTTTTGGAGCTCCGCGCAGTTTTCTTGGATCGGCGTTTCGGCGCTGGAACCCCCTGGCGGCGCTTCCAGCGCCGCTTCTGGCCCGATTCGCGCGCCAAGGAGGGGGTCAGCGCCGATCTAAAAAAGCCGCGCGGAGCGTTGAAAGCTTCTGGTTGCACAGTTTTTCTTGCTCCTCTGAGAGTTACGCGTCCCGGGAGCTAACGTCAAGCCTGCGTGCCTGACGCGCGGTCTGCTGGCCAGAGCCGCGGGGAAGAGGGCGGCCCTGCATCGAGAGAGGCTCTGCGCAGTGTGCCGCCTCCAGAGGCCCGCTTCAGGCCCGGGGGCCGTCGGGAGTCGATCCGTGAGGAGACGCCGGCAGGTGGCGGGCCCGTGGCGGGACCGGGCTGGCTCTGAGCGAGTGCTGGGTTTGGGGGGCGGTAGGAGGAGTCCGTAGGAGGCATCCGCAGCCAAGACGCTGAGATGAGGGACCGCTTTGGATTCGGAAGGAGCTGGCTGTTCCTTGGGTCGTTCTGTGGTTGCTCGTCTGGCCCTCCTCGTGCACCCAAGCTCTTCGGGTGCCAAAGAGGGGCTTCGTTCCTGGCTTAGCGTTCCTTGTGTCAGCAGCCCGGCTGTAGTATGCACCACTACCCATCGTTCGTTGAAAATAAGTATTGTCGGAGTCCCAGATTCCAACCTACGTTAAGCGCCTTCCTACCTTAACGATCGGGTGGCTTCACCTTTTCCGTTCTCCCTGGGGGGCGGGCGGAGACCCAATCTATTTCCAACGCTGCTTCACGTTTCTACCTGCCTCTTCCGACCGATGGGTAAAAAAAGCAAACACACACGCACCAACACACACACACAAACACACAAAAACACACAAAACAAAAAAAACACGTGGGAACAAACAAAACACACACACACACACACACACAAAAAAACAAACACGTGTGTGTGTGTGTGTGTGTGTGTGTGTGTGTGTTTGTTTGTGTGTGTGTGTTTTTGCACCATGACGCCTGGCCAGGGTCGTGCGGGGCCCCAGGACCAGGATGGTGTGCAGACCCTCCAGGACTCGGCCCAGGAGGGCGCGCACACCACGTAAGGGCCCAGGATGGCCATGACCGAGCATCATGGTGGTACCCATCGGTCGTTGACAGTGGGTATTTCGGGATCCCCAGAGCCCAATCTGCTTTATAGGCGCCCTCCTACTTCAAATCCACGAGCGTGGCTTCCCCTCCCCTCATTGTGAGGGGGGCGGGCGGAGGAACCTTACCTGCTTCCAGCGCCTGCTACTTCGTGTTTCTACCTACTTCTTCCGACCGATGGGTATGCAAGTGCCAATGGTCAGGAGGCAAAAAACACACATACATAATGAATCGTCGATCCCGAGAAAATACGGGAAAAAAAGGGAAGTGGGGGGGGGGAGACGAAAACCCCTAAAATATGGAAACATATGGGGACTATTTTTGTTTGTGTGTATTTATTTGTGTGTCCCAGGGCCCCTTCAAATGGCCAGAGAGCTGCTCCCCTGGAGGCCTCAGGCAGCGGAGACGGGGAGGGAATCGAGAGCGTGCGCGCCCAGAGGCGGGTTGGCAGTAGGTCTTCCCTGTTGCCCCATCGATTTTCCTTCTCTGTCGTCTTCCCTCCTCCCTCCTATTACAGTGCCGGTTTTACTACATGCTCATCGTGCGGATCATGTATTAAAAAACGCAGGGCTTATTATTAAAAACAAAGATGAGTTCATGCACACATGTATTCATACATCAGTCATGCATTAAACATCCAAGATTCCCCAAAATCCTATGTATAAAAAACTGCCTTGTATTTATCTGTTTCACATTATTACCTCCCTCCCTCATCTAGAGTGTGTCCCTAACTACCAATGTTGTCGTGAGATGGTTCGTGACCTCTCAGCGTTGGCGCGAGCTGTGGCCTGGTTTCTAAGCCGCTCGTCCGACGACTCACTGCCCCCCTCTCGAATCCGCGAGCTTGTCGGAAGCGCATTGCGAACTATTGTGAAGTGAAGAAGGCAGTGCAGCAGCCACACCAAAGAGGAGGAGAAGGCAGAGAGCGGAGAGCGCGGGAGACGGGCAGGGCGTCCAATGCAACAGCAGGCGCTTTAGCTCGTGAGTTTCGCTGTCCTGCGACTGGGTCTCCTGTCGGAGCGTGTGCTGCAGGTGCTGTTTGAATTCTGCCCCCCTGCAGGCGTCTCTCGTCCGCCTCGCCCTTCTCTTACCGCGACATGAGGAGGAGGAGGAGGAGGAGGAGGAGGAGGAGGAGGAGGAGGAGGAGGAGGAGGAGGTAGACGAGGACCAGCAAGAGAAGGACGAGGAGGAGGGGCAGGGTAACTTGGCCATTCACCCAGCGCCAGAGCTGGGCATTTTGTGCGCCTGCCCCCGCAGTCCCAGGTCTCTCGAGCATTGTTCTTCGAGCCCATTCGATTACGTTGCTTTTTCGTAAACGGCAGTGCAACAATATATCCGCGTGGTGGGAAGGCCCCAGAAATGAGTGGACGACGACGTTGCAGCATTAGGCCGCCCGGATGGACGGGCGCGCCAGTGTGCACAGCAAATATGATTGTACATTTTTCGTAGGTAGGCATTGCATGCGTCCACGCGCCTTGGCGTCAGACTCAGTAGTAGTAGTAGTAGTAGTAGTAGTCGTAGTAGTAGTAGTAGTAGTAGTCGTAGTAGTCGTAGTAGTAGTAGTAGTAGTAGTAGTAGTAGCAGTAGTAGTAGTAGTA